CTGCAGAACAGCTGAGCACAGGGTGGGGAAAAACGACTCCACCCCCACCCCATGGCCGGTGCCCCATGCTGCAGGTGCTCGCAGCCTGCTTTGGGCTGCCTGTGCCTGCTCTGGACAGCCCTGTGGGCTGCGAGGAGCTGCAGCAGGGAGCGCTGGCCACGGGGCAGGTAAGGGTCACTTCCCCCCCTGCCCTGTGCTCAGCACCACCTTGTAACCCAGCCCCACTGCCAGCCTGGGCCCTGCGCTGGCTCCAGGCTCACCTGCTGGGACTCCATGTGGTGACAGCAGCTGCGGCTCCCCCGCTTGCCATGCTGGGCAGTGTTTGCCACTGCCACCTGTGGCCTACCCAGCTCTGGGTGGGCAGCAGTAGTTAACACTGCCTGGTGTGGCAAGTGGGGTGGCAACAGCTGCTGCCACCGATGGGCAAGCCCAGAGCCGGTGCGGAGCCCAGGCTGGCAGAGGGGATGAGTTACAAGCTGGTGCTGAGTGCGGGGAAAAGCAGCCCCTCACTCGCTCCATGACCAGCGTCTCATGCTGTAGCTGCTTGCAGCCTGCTTGGAGCTGCCTGTGCCTGCTCCAGACAGTCCTGCATGGGCTGCGAGCACCTGCAGCAGGGAGCGCCAACCATGGGGTGGGCGAGGGGCTGCGTTTCCCCGTGCTTAGCATGAGCTTCTTCCCTGCCAGCAAGCAGGAGATCAGGACTGTGCACTGCTCCCTGCCTGTACTGCGGGGCTGGGGGGCACTGGGAGTGAGCAGGTGCAGGAGCCAGTGGGAACATGGGGCCCACATTGGTGTCCTGGGGCCTGTGCCAGTGGAGCCCAGAGCAGGGTGGCAGGAGCGCAGGGTCCCAGCCGGCAGAGGCTTTATGGAGCTGGGCCAGCTCCTCCCTCTCCCTGCTGGTGCAGCCAGCCTGGCTTCACAGACCCCTGCCAGCCTGTGCTCTGCTTTGGGCCCTACTGGTGCTGGCTCTGGGACATTGGTCCCTAGATGGTGACCAGGGGGCGGGGCACGTGTCAAGGGGCAGGGCACGTGTCAAGGGGCAGGGCTACCCATGCGGCCCTCGACAGCCTCCAAAACTGTGTAAGTGGCCCTCCACCTGAAATAATTGCCCGCCCCTGTTCTTGACTCTTCTATTGACCAGTGTGTCCCATGGGACAAGTGAGTCTTACCTGTATGCTTCATATTCTACAAATGGGGATGATCCATAGTTTCATAGTTTCATAGTAGCGGGGGTGGGGAGGGCCCTGAACAGATCATCTCCCCGCCCCCCCTGCCACAGGCAGGAATGAATGCTGGGTTCACAAGACCCCAGACAGGTGATCATGTAACCTCTTTCTGAATTTGCCCAAGGTAGGGGCAAGGACCACTTCCCTAGGTAGTTGGTCCCAGATTCTGGCCACCCTAACTGTAAAATATTGCCTCCCGATCTCTAACCTAAACCTATTCTCCATCAGCTTATTCCCATTGTTTCTTGTCACCCCCGGTAGTGCTGGGGAGAATAGGGCTCTTCCTATATGCTGATAATCTCCCCTGATGAGTTTATAGGCAGCCACCAGGTCCTCCCTCAGCCTCCTCTTGCTGAGGCTGAACAGGTTCATGTCCCTCAGTCTCTCCTCATACGGCCTGTCCTGCTGCCCTCTCACCAAATGGGTGGCCCTCCTCTGAACTCTCTCCAGGCTGGCCACATCCTTTTAAAAGTGCGGCGCCCAGTACTGGATGCAGTACTCCAATTGAGGCCTGACCAATGTCGCATAGAGAGGGAGTATTACCTCTCTGGACCAGCTTGAGATGCATCTTTGGATGCATGACAAGGTATGGCTGGTCTTGCTGGCTGCGGTGTGGCATTGGTGGCTCATGTTCATCTTGGAGTTGATAAAGACTCCAAGATCCCTTCCTGCCTCTGTGCTTTCAAGGAGGGAACTCCCCAGCCTGTATGTATGCTGTGGATTCCTTCTCCCAAGGTGCAGCACCCTGCATTTGTCTATGTTGAAACCTATCCTATTCTCATCTCCCCACTTTTATAGTCTGTCTAAATCTAGTTGCAGCCTCTCTCTCCCTTCAAATGTGCCCACTTCACTCCACATCTTAGTGTCATCAGCCAACTTGGACAATGTGCTTTCAACCCCCTTGTCCAAGTCACTGATGAAGATGTTAAACAGTGCGGGCCTGAGGACCAAGCCCTGGGGGTCCCCAGCACTCCCATCTTGCCAGGTTGAGTACGACCCATCCACCACTACTCTCTGGGTGAGCCCCAACAGCCAGTTTTTACCCATCCAACTGTGTAGGCATCAATGCCACAGTTGCTTAATTTATTAATGAGAATGGGGTGAGAGACAGTGTCTAAGGCCTTCTTAAAGTCTAGAAAGACTACATCCATGGTGACACCATCATCCAAGGATATAGTTACCTGGTCATAAAAGGTAATCAGGTTGGTTAGGCAGGACCTGCCTTTGATGAACTCATGCTGGTTACCCCTAAGCATGATCTCCCTTGCTGGCCCCCCACAGATGTGCTCCTGGATGATTTTCTCTAAGATCTTCCTGAGGACCGAGGTGAGGCTTACCGGCCTGTAGTTACTTGGATCCTCCTTCCTCCCTTTGTTAAAAATGGGGACCACATTAGCTAGTTTCCAATCCCCCAGCACCTGGCCAGATGACCACAAATGCTCATACAGCCGGGCCAAGGGCTTCGTGATGACCCCTGCCAGCTCCCTCAACACCGTTGGGTGGAGGGCATCTGGACCTGCAGATTTAAAAATGTCCAGCCCTTCCAGAAGATCCCTAACTACCTCTGTGCTGACCCAAGGCCTGTCAGAGCTATCCCTGAGATTTTCCCTGCCTCTGGTAGGAGGGATGTCCTGGTCCCTGTTCAGGAAAACAGAGAAAGAAACTTAAAAATATCGTCTTTCTCGTCTGGCGTAACCACAAGATTACCATTTGAGTCTTGCAGGGGCCCTACATTGCCTGATGCCCACTTCTTGCTCCCAATGTACTTGAAAAAGGACTTTTTGTTGTCCTTAATTCTGGACGCTAGCCTGAGTTGCATCTCTGCCTTGGTCTTCCTAATAGCCCTCCTACACTCACAGGCCAAGGAGGAATACTCCTCTTTGGTGATAGCCCCTCCCTTCGACTGGTTGTACGCCACCCTTTTAGTCCTCAGGAATTCCAATAATCCTGTGCCTTGAAAAGCATTTTATGATAGTTAAATAACAAATGTGATAGAAGAGTTTAAACTACCATAATAATTCTAAAATATAATAGATTTCATCTTCTAGTATAAGCTAAAATGTGTTTCACAGAGAGTATTTTACATTCTTAATGTCTCAGAGCTTTAGCTTCTATTCTTATTTTATGCCTTTACCAATGTTTTGTTCTAAACTTCTTGTTAAAGCATTTCCATTTGTTTAAGAGGTTTTGACTTGGTTGCAGTCATGGCACGATAGTTGTATTTCTCTAAGTTAGACTGCTTGTCAAATGTAAAACTGTGATTTTCATTTTTTGCAGCTAAATCTACTCTAGCATCTCTCAGTGAGGTGATTTCCTGTCATATGAATGCCAGTTGACATGCTTGTCAGTTATGTGAATTCTTACAAATATTCCAGAGTTAAAGAACTCTCATTCATTTTTATAAAAGCATTGTAGGAGAAAAGACCTTTGGTTTTGGATATTTCTAATTTTTACTTTATTATGTCACAGTCATTTTATCTGTTCTCTAGTCCTGCAGAACTGGAGAACACACATACATACCTGAATTGTAATATGTGTGATACAGCCACACGCTGTATGATATATATAGTATTAGCTATGAAGGCCCCAGTTTTCTTGCAATAATGTTTGAGCAATACAGCCTCTGGGGAAATTTGAGTAGATGAGAAGGTAAAATCTATCCCTCCAACACAGAGCAAGGTTTGCCAGGTGACAGTCTGACACAATTTGAGCTGGAATTGCTTCTCCAGATCCATTTGAAAAACTTTCACAAGACTTTTGGGTTACTATAGTTGTTTGCATATAGATATCCCAAGACCTTTGACCTTCCATCTCACAGTCCTTTGAAATGTCCTATGCACAGATGTTTAGGCAGCCATTGTGGTAGTTCTTATATCATGATGATAGCATTATGCATAATCTGCATTCCAGAGATAAACTTCACCTCAAAACAAAATGACATATCCTCAAACCTTTCATAAGTCTAAGGTGGAACCTCCATGTAGCTTGCTTTTTATTTGCTTACACTAGTTGGATTTATCCAGCTCGCCAAATAAGTTAAGATAACATGGTTACAAGGTAAGCTGAATAGATGTATTTAAAAAAACAAAAGTGGGACATTGTGAAATAAATAAAGTTTAGTTTTCCTTAAAAAAAAAAAAAAAGAAAAGAAAACATTTCTAATTAATACTCATGTATATGGGACCTAATTGTGCAATCCTTCCTCACAATCCTAAACAAATTTGCTAAGTTGCATAAAAAACCCTTCAAAAACTATGCTTATACTTTAAAATAGAATAAATATCCTACATATAGGCACTGCGTGTCTTTCATAATAGAGTAGAATAGCTGCAATTTTACTTTTTGTTCATTAAAATGTCTATCAAGAGCTAAAGAAAAATGTTATGGGCTGCAGTTAGACTGGCAAGTTGATCAGCTGCTGCTGCACAGGACTCATAATATCCACCGCTTGTCATGATTATGATTTTCTCCAGAGACAAGTGAAACCTTCTTTTCTAGGGCAAAAGAGGAAAAAGAGAGATTTAACATCACCAAGGATCTGCCCCATCTAGTCTGAACAACAGAAGAAATACATCAAAAACTTTAAATCATTGCTTAACAAAGAACACTGACAGACCTGATAAAAGAAATAGAAGATTCTATTTTGATTATGTTTCAGAAAACATTGCTATCATTTTATACTGCAAACTCTCTTTATAATGCAGCAAAAATATTCTCTTTGAAATACAACAGAAACTTTGCTGATTTATTCTTCTCCCTATTTCTTATTGCTAGGGGAAAGAAGACTGGCCATGATGTAGATTTTTTAATCACCAATCCAGGACCAAAGGAAGAAAAAGAACTTTTACATAAAGTGGTTGACTTATGGGAAAAACAGGTAAAATATTTTATAAAAAGTAAAAAAATATTTTGAGATGAAAGAATGAACTTACCAATAGTGGAGTCAGCACCGGAGCCTTGACAGAAAATGGTAATTCATCATTGGAGGCTATTTCAAAATTTGGTACCATTCTGCTTTGAAATAACATCATAAAAAAGGGAAATTCTCCATGACGTGGAATTTCAGCTCTTCCCTAGCTCTGTGGGCAGCCTGAGCTCCAGGGTGGTCTCCTTGATGGGTTACCCAAGAACTACTGAGCGCCAGGTGCTCAGGACCCCACAAGGTCAGCAGATTCTGATGAAAAAATGTTTCAACCTTTTTTTTCTGACTATCCCTATTCAGCACTGCAAACATTTCTTTTATTTTTAGCTATGTAATGAGTGCTATAGAGATGCTTATACTGTTAATATTTAACTCTTTTTGGAAGGATCTAAATACTAGCTGATACAAGGGGCTCATAATATTAGGTCAATACATGTAGTCTGTTGGAAATAAGCAGCGTATTAGTGCTTTTATTAGCATACTAATAAAATATCTTTATATGTTTCATTTTGCACTAAGTTTTTTCATATGGAGTGTAATATTGTTTGCATTTGAGGAATGTACACTCACTCTTCATTGTCTGTTTTCTTTGTATTGAAAACATTTTGGCTATTTGCAGACATTTGGGGAGGTTAGATTGCATTAAAAATGGCAACACAATCTAACTTAGTTCACCCAGATGCAGACTTTATACATAGACCTGGTCTCAGTAATCAGAAATTAATCTAAACCCCATAACAGCACAGAAGTACTGGTCTAGAAATGGGAGAACCTAGTCTAAGATAGATCTGGATTAATGTTCACTCAAACTTAATCAGTTTAGGTTACATCAGTGAACTGAACTTCAGTACAGTTACCTGCACAGCCCCAGGGCTGGGAAATCCCAGCTGCTAGCCCCAGTCCCAGAGTTGTACTTTTCCGATCTGCCCACCCCCTCCACAAGCCACTCCAGGTACTGGTTTTATTAGGTATTATGGATGCTGAGGGCCAAGGAAGTAAGTATTGTTGGGGGAGAGGCAGGAGGGATGGGGTAGGTCCCCTGCAAACCTCCCTGTGAGCTGTTCTGATTATGCCAAACCCTCCCAGACCCCAGGAATCCCCTGTGGACCCTGTTTATTCCCTGATTGCTTCTGATCTTGCCTGCTCCCTGATTCTGCCCTCCCCATCCCCATGATCACTTCCATGGATCCTGCTTGCCCCCCATAAGCCCCCCCCAACTTACCTCAGATCAGGTAGCCATTTTTAATGCAATCTAACCTTCCCCCTGAATGTCTGCACTTAGCCTTAGCCTTGTGTAAAAGGACAGTTCTCTTTTTGAATTTTCATATGCCCTGTAGCTAAACAAGATCAGCTTTCAGAAAGCCTGGTTATTGATCAGTTCTGATATCTATATATTCAGAGGTGGGTAATTATTTTAGCTGGAGGGTGGCTTAATGAGTTTTGACAAGCTGTTGAGGGCCTCATAGGTAGCCCTGACCTTTGCCAGGTGCCCTGTCCCCTGTTTGTCATCTTGGGGCCAGAAGTCCCACCTTTGCCACCAGAAGTCTCTCCCCTTGCCCATGGAAGTACTCCTTTTGGCAAGGGGTTTTCCATCTTGGAACCAGAAAAAAATATTCTAAAAATCAAACATCTACTACAATATACATTTATTTGATTTCAAAAAAGATTTTTGTCCTGATTTACATGTGTTTGCATAGTGTACATAGAGGTGATTGCATAATAGCTTAAATAAAGTCTTACTCTTGTGTATTGTGGGAGGTGTGGGGGTATGGGTGGGTGCATATATGTTTGTGGGGGGCTGTGGGTATGTGTGTATGTCGGGTGTAGGGGAGGCTTTGGGCACGTTTGGGGTTTGTTGGGGTGGTAAATAGGTGTGGGGGTGGACATGTGGGTGTGGGTGAGTATAGGGAGCATGTGGGTGTGTGCGTGTAGATATGTGGGGTGTCCGTGGAGCTCCTGCCAGCCTGGGCTTCATGCTCCTGTCACCCTGCCCTGGGACCCCAATGCCCCTGGCCCTGAGGCACCCACCCACTGCTGCTTTTCTCCCCGCTTGCTGCTACTTCCCTGCCCACCCGTCACTCCCCACACCTGTCTGTCACTGCTTCCCACCTGCCTGCCTGCTGCTCTGGCACCACACGGTTCCTGGCTGGCTCCTACTGTGCACTGTGTGATGCCGGAGCCAACCTGGCCTGGCCTGGCCAGAACTGCACAGAGCCAGCCAGGAATCACAGGGGCTGGGCTGGCTTCTGCTGCAGCAGCAGGGAGAGGCGGAAGCTGATATGGCTCCATATAGCCCCTGCCAGCCTGGGCTCTATGCTCCTGCCACCCTGCCCTGGGCCCCCACTGGTATGGGCCCCACACTCCAGCCCAGCTGTCACTGCAGTCCTGCTTTCCTACTCACTGCTACTCCCCCACCACCAGCCACCACTACCACTGCCATTTCCCCGCCTTCCCACTGCTTTCCCCCTCCCTCCCCCTGTGCACCCTCCAGGTGCTCTGGCAGCGTGTGGTTCCTGGCTACATGTCTAGGACTACAGAACATGGCAGGAGCCAGCCAGGCCCCCGTGGACTGGGGCAATCGCTGGCATCCTTCCCTCTCCCCTGTCCTTATCTGAATTGCACTCTTGGATGGACGGAGGTGGGGAACAGCCCCAGGGTCAACAGGCCAGAAGCCTGTGCTAGGCAGAGGCTTCTGGTTGGGGGGATGGGGGTGGGGCAGAGCCAGTCAGGCCGTGCTGCTGCTGCCCCTGGGTCCTACTGGCTTCTCACGGGTCCTGCCACCTCTGGTGCCTTGTAAGCTTAGACAGGCAGCCACAGTCAAATAATAATTAATTTTATAAATTTTTAGGGGCCCTGCAGGTTGGATAGAACGGTTTGGCAGGCCAGATCCAGCCACAGGCTGTATGTTGCGCACCCCTGATATAACTGTTAATATCTTGATAAGGGATGGGCATAAAGAATTAATGATCTAGAAAAATATCTAGATAGGTGTGTATCTGAACCTGTGTAGATACCCTTCAGGGTTGACATTTTCTTATTAACTTCCCCAGTAGCTCCTGGAATATTCATGGGCACACAATATAGCTTCTATACCCTTCTTCCAGTTGGCTTGCAGTCTTTGAAAATACTCTTAAGTCCTTCAGAATCTTTTGTTTCCTTATTTTCTGGAGCATCTATCTTAGCTATAGATTTTCACAGCATTGTTGAAATCAGTGGCACTGGGAAAATTGATACTAACTGAGGATCTGTCCAATTACATATTTAAAGTAGCCTTCATGAGGATCGCATCATTTTGGGAACAGTACACCATCTCTTAAATAGCTGCCCTTAGGCTTTATGTAGGAGACATGGGGTACCGGAGCCATGTGAATGCTCTCCACTTGGGTGTCAGACTGAAGACTATATCGTGCCTCCAGCTAGGGCAAGATTCTGCACACTGAGTATAGCCTTTCAAACTTTCCATACTATGCCATTCACATTAATGGGAACTGTACTTATCTTCTGAGAAATTAATCAACTGCATAAGCAAGCAGTGAAAGCATTAAAGCTGTGCAGTTCACCCTGAGCTGCTTCAGTTAAATGGAAGAACTAACATAAACTATTTATTATAAAAAAGATAACATGAGGCAAATAAAGGTGCAGGGAAAGTGAGGATAAGTAAAACTAGGCTAGGAGGTTGAGAATTTACTTAGGTTTCAGGTACAGAAATTGAGGAAATTAAAGAGATGGAAAAATAGTAGAAGGAGGTATGTATGGTAGCAAAAAGAACCAAACCCAAATAGTCTTGGATCATTTTAAGTGAGAAGCATAGAGTTTTCCTTGTACTCATTTTTTTCTGGTGTCCCTATGAGTTATGATATATAAACCTACTGACCCAACTGTTGATTATACTGCCTGAATTCATTGCTGTGTCAGTTCTAATATTCAGAATATAACTGTCAGTGCTGGAGAAATTAGCTCCTAGCAAAATCAAAATACAAAAACAAAGACAGGAATTATACTCCTCCTGCCTTTTTATTACATTTGATTTATAAAAAAAGGAATTAAAGCACTTTTATACTGTTTGACAGGAAACCTGTCTGCCCCTTCACAGCTTTCCCACTTTCGTGCCACTGCTTCAAAGCTCAGGTGCATCAAAGAACGTCTTAAAGGTCATGATGTTGACTTTCTTTTAGATGTTTTTAGTGAAGGATTCTGCAATGTTTAACTTCTAAACTATATGAAAACTAATTTAAATAGTTCAGAATAGGCCTTTTCTTAGCTGAAAAGTTTAAAGTTCCAGAATCCTTCCCCTGAAAGTTGTTGAAAAACTAAGTCAAGTCAACAACATGATATTCTTTGATGAAGCATCATCAGGGATAAGTAGGTCTAGAAGATGCAGTGTCTTCTCTTTACTTCAGAGTAGAATGGTAAAATGGAAAAGCTGCAGTGTGGTAGACAGATTATCTTTTAATAGTTTAGCAATGCTTTAAAAAGGAAGTAAAAATGACTCTGTCTCTGGGTTACTGCTTGGAAATCTCTGGTCTAACAGTTTCATAGCCATATGTGTGAATGTAATACAATGCACATACTGTGTAAGTTTTCTGCCTTCAAGTTCTTGTTAAATATGTTTTTATCTGGTTATTATCTGGTCAATTTAGCAAGAGGAAGTATGGTTGTAAGGACTTTTTTAATTGTGACTTTTTCTATTTTAATTGTGCAAACTTAACTTTGCACCAACAAGGCTTGGCATTCATCTCCTTGAGATTTTTGTAAGGAAAAAAGGGAAAATCTTCCTCTGCTTAGTAATCTTAGAATTTAAATGGTTCATCTGATTCTTATTCTAAACAACCAGTAAGATGAATGTGTATGATGACAGGAGTTCCAGTCTCATGGGAATGACTGGTGGGAAATGAGTAGAAGGGCTATGTCTTACACAACTTGCATAGTTTTGCTACTGATTTTTGCAAAGTTGG